AATCCTTCACAAACACTGTCAAAAAAAAAAGAGAGAGAGAGAAGGAAACACATCTCAAATCATTCTATGATGTCAATATTGACTTTGGTATCAAAACCTGAAAAAAAGTATCACAATAAAAGAAAATTATACCAAAGACATAAAAGATTTATATAACGAAAGTTATAAAACACTACTATAAGAGACTAGAAGATACTTACATGAATGAATGGACATTCTGTGTTCATGGATTGGAAGATTTAATATAGTGAAAATGTCAACTTTACCTGCAGCAATCTACAATGCAATCCCAATAAAAATCCCAATGACATTCTTCTATTGAAATGGAAAAACTAATTACCAACTTTCTGTGGAAAGGAAAGAAACTCCGAACAGCCAAAGCAATACTGAAGAAGAAGAACAAAGCAGGAAACCTCACATTCCTCGATATCAAAACATACTATACAGACACTGTAATCAAAATAACCTCATATGGGTTCAATTGTAGACACATACAAACAAAAACCCACTGCTGTCGAGTCGATTCTGACTCATAGCAACCCTATGAGAATAGACACATAGACTAGCAGAAAAGAATTGAGAACCCAGAAATAAGTCCAGTCATCTATGGACAACTGATTTTTGACAAGAGGTCAAAATCCATTCAATGGGGGCAGAAACAGTTTCTTTAATAAATGGTGCTGGCAAAACTGGATATCCACTTGCAGAAAAATGTTTCAGGATCAATACCTCTCACCACACACAAAAACTAACTCAAAATGGATCAGAGACCTAAATGTTAAACCTAAAACCATAAAATTCCTGGAAGAAAACATAAGGAGTAAACTATGGGACCTAATCTTTTGTAAAAATAGAATAACAAACATATCAACAAATGCACAAATAGCAGAAGACAAAATAGATAAATGGGACCTCATAAAATTAAAAACTTACGCTCATCAAAAGGTCTTGTCAGAAAAGTAAAAAGACAACCTACAGACTGAGAAAAAACTTTGGAAAGGGCGTATCTCATAAGGGTCTAATTGCTAACATTTGTAGAAAATTTCAACAACTCAACAACACAAAGACAAACAACTCAATTATAAAATGGGCAAAGGACATGAACAGAACCTTCACCAAAGACAACATCCACGTAGCCAACAAACACACGAAAAGACGCTCTCAATCATTAGTCATAAGAGAGATGCAAATCAAAACTACAATGAGATACCATCTCACCCAGCTAAAATGGCACTGATTAAAAAAAAAAAAAAAAAAACAGACAAAAACAAATGTTGGCAAGAATGTGGGAAGACTGGAACCCTTATCCATTGCTGGTAAGACTAAAATGGTACAACCACTATGGAAAATGGTATGACGCTTCCTCAAAAAACTGGAAATAGAACTACCCTATGATGCAGTAATCCCACTCCTCGGTATATAGCCTAGAGACCTAAAAGTATTGACATGAACAGACATATGCAGACCTATGTTCATTTTAGCTTTATTCACATAATTCATATTATATGGTCTTATATATATTACCATCGCCATCCAGCTGATTCTGTCTCATAGCAATCCTATAGGACAGAGTAGAACTGTCACACCGGGTTTCCAAGGAGCTGCTGGTGGATTCAAACTGCTGGCCTTTTGGTTTGCAGCCATAGCTCTTAACCACTGTGCCACCCGGGCTCCAGTCTTATATATAGATAATCAAATTTGTAAGGAATTCGCACACACACACATACGTATCCAAATTATGAGAACCAACAAAAAATAGCAAAGAAGTTCAGCCAGGTTTCAGTATATAAGAACTATATGAAAAATTCAATTGTATTTTTATACATTAGTAATAAACAATTTAGAAGTAAAAATTAGGGAAATAAATTCCACTTACATTATTATCAAAAATAATTAAATACTTAGGAATATATTTTTAAGAAGAAACACAACTCATGCTGAAAACTGAAAAAAAAAAAGGTTGAAAGATTTAAAAAGACTTAAATAAATAGGAATACATTGCATATTTATAATTTGGAAGGTTTAATGTTGTTAAGTTAGCTACACTCTCCACAGAGCCCTGGTGACTCAGTGGTTAAGAGCTCAGGCTGCTAAGCAAAAGGTTGGCAGTTCGAATCCACCTTGGAAGCTCTATGGGGCAGTTCTACTCTGTCCTATAGGGTCACTATGAGTCAGAATTGACTCAACAACACACAACAACACTTTCCACATTGATCTACAGATTCAAGGTAAACTCTGTTAAACACCAGCTTCCTCTTCTGCAGAAACTGACTGAAGCTCAAATTCATAGGAAAATTGAATGGACCCAGAATTGCAAACACAATTGTGACAAACAAGAGCAAATTTGGAGAATATACATTGCTCAATTTAAATGTATTACATTTTTAAATGTATTACAAAGCTACATTAATTAAGACAATGTGGTACTGGCATCAGAATAGACAAAGAACTGAATGGAGTAAAATTGAGAGTAAAAGTAAACAATCACATTTATGGTCAATTGATTTTGGATACGATTGCCACAACATTTATGTGGAGAAAGAATAGTCTTTTCAACAAATGGTACTAGGACAATTGAATATCCATATACCAAAAAAGAAAGAAAGAAAAATGAAGTATTCTGCTACCTCATACCTTATAGAAAAACAAAATTAAAATGGACTGTAGACTTAAATATAAGTGGTAAATTACAAAGCTCTTAGAAAAAAACATGGAAGGTCTGCATGGCTGGAACATAGTCAATCAAGAATGAAATACCATGATATAAGGTAGGATTTGAAAACAGAGTAACTAGGCAAGTAATGTAACAAGTTCTTCAATAACTTGAAACAGTTAGTGTCAACTAGTTCTTTACTAGCATTCTTTTAGATTTCATGATTTCTGTATTATTAGATAGCAACAATCTCTTATATTTAAATTTGAATTACAACAATGTTTGCATGCATATGTTAGATTATCTGTATATAAAAAATATTATTTCCCTTCTACATATTTAACCCTCTATACTACATTTAAATTATTTTTTAAACATTGGTGAGTTTTTACTATGTTGATATATTTTTTAAAAAAATTGACCCAAAGAAGAAGATAGCACCCAGTACCTCTCTATTCTTCAGTATTTTAAAACACAAAATAATCAAATCTTTGCCATAAAGACCAAGGTGTAGAGGTTCAGGTGACTAATGTAGAGTTCAAAAAATTCTGCGAAATGCAATGACCAAAGCTCTATCTGCTTGCCATAATTTAAAGAAAATACAATGATATTTCGTTTTACTAAATTAAGTTCCATTGGAAAGCTAGGTTAACTTTCTGAAAAGGTCCTTTGCTCCTATTTCCTGCTGAACAGAGAAATAGAAATTAATACTTTTGTTTTCTTTCTCTTTCGACTAGCCGAATTGATATGGCCAGTCAAAACCTCCTGTTAGTTTTATATACATATTGCTAAATTTATTTTGTATTGTTTTATTTTATTGTTGTTGTTGAGAATATACACAGCAGAATATAAACCAGTTCAACAGTTGCTACGTGTACAATTCAGTGACATTAATTACAGTCAAGTTGTGCAACCATTCTCAGTCTCCTTTGTATGAATTGTTCCTCTCCATTAACATAAACTTACTGTCCCTTAAGTTTCCTATCTAATCTTTTGAGTTGCTGTTGTCAATCTGATCCCATACATATAGTTCCTAAAAGAGCACAATGCTCAAGGCTGGCATTCTTTACTAATTAAGGTAAACTCTTGTTTGGTTTAAAGAAGACTTCAGGGGATATTTTTGGGATAAGTTTTAAAGATTATCTCAGGGCAATAGTTTCAGAGGTTCATCCCGTCTCATTGGATCCAGAAAATCTGGATTCCATGAGAATCTGAAATTCTGATCTGCATTTTCCCCCTTTTGAGCAAGATTCTTCTATAGAATCTTTGAACAAAAAGTTCAGTAATCGTAGCCAGGCACCATCCAGTTCTTCTGGTCTCAAGGCAAAGGAAGCAGTTATTTGTGGGGGTAATAAAAAATAACCATTTGGAGACGTCTCATTGCTTCTGACTACCATGTGTTCCAAAAAATTACAGGTTATAAACATCTGTTTAAAAATAAAAACACTCTTATAATTTAGAAGGCTAAAACACTAGTGAATTAGTGACATTTTAAAATATCAAACATTTATTTTAAGGCCATAAACAAATGTCAGTGTATTGAAGTGCAGAAGCAATCACACGTCCTTAAGAAATTCTCCTTCCCCAATTATACTCAAAAAGGCAGAATATAATTCATGTAACCTTCAGACTGGAAAGTTATTCCTATTTTGCAGTTAGCGAAGACTAAAAACACATCCTCCCCTGTTATAAGTAGCAAATTTTTTTTTTTTTTTTCTTGAAGCAAAGGGCAGAACTTATATGCATGTTGCCTGCTCAGAGGAGCAACAGAAGCCTCGTATTTACATTGCGTGGTTTTTAACCTGCTGAGGTACTGGTGAAACCCTTCAGCAGGTAAAGACCTGCAAGATTATTAACTTTGGTAATGCTGTTGTATTCTTGTCTATCACCAGTCTGGATAAATTTCTGTCAATAATTTATATGCTGCCTTTTATGGGAATGTTTAAGTCATAAATGTATTCTTGTTTTTAACTGTTTATTCATGGGCACATCCTTGGCATATTAATCAGTTCTTAGGTGTACCTGGACTCTATCTCTGCTGTTCTCATTCCAGTATCACAGAAACCTGCCTCTGATATGTATTTAATAGGTATTTAATATTTTCCATGCCCTGACCAATATAACATGTAAGTGTGGCTAACTGGTGCAATACACTTCTTATTTTATCTAAGGAAAACATTATTTTATAACATTAAATATTTATCATTCATTTTTCTTTTCTCAACTTTTTTTTTGAAGTTTTCCTTTTTAATTTTTTTTAACCTGAAGCCCTGGTGGAGAAGTGGTTGAAACATAATGTTTAAATAATACCTACCTGTGAATAACACTTATTTGGAAGGCCCTGATTTTTGTAAACATTAATTAATATGTAAACTATACTGTTTACAACTTACCCAACAGGAATCCGGGTTCATTGTGACAAGGGGTACAACTTGTGGCCTTACTATGAACAATTGCCCTACACATGGGGGATTTAAAAAAAAAAAAGCTGTAAACTATACTTCATTCTTTGGTTTGGATTTCCAAACCGAGACTGAAATGTGTGTTTGCATGATGCTGCTTATTGGTCATTTTTGTTTTCTTTGTGTTGAGGTGTAATCCATACTGAAGGCTGTAATCTTTGATCTTCATCAGTAAGTGCTTCAAGTCCTCTTTGCTTTCAGAAAGCAAGATTTCGTCATCTGCATATCACACGTTGTTAATGAGTCTTCCTCAAAACCTGATGCCTGTTCTTCTTCATGCCGTCCAGGTGCTCAGATTATTTGCTCAGCAAATAGATTGAATAACATGGAGAAATGATACAACCCTGACGCACACTGTTCCTTCTTTTAAACCACTCAGTAAACCCTTGCTCTGTTTGAATGACTTCTTGTTCTATGTACAGGTTCCTTATGAGCAAGTTAAGTGTTCTGGAATTCCCATTCTTCTCAAAGTTATCCATAATTTGGTATGTTCCACACAATCGAATGCCTATGCATAGTCAATAAAACTCAGTAAACATCTTTCTGATATCCTCTACTTTCAGCCAAAATTCATCTAACATCCGCAATGATATCCCTAGTTTCAAGTCCTCTTCTGAATCCAGCTTGAATTTCTGACAGTTCCCTGTGGATGTACTGCTGCAATCACTTTTGACCAATCTTCAGCAAAATTTTACTTGTGTGTGATATTAATGATATTGTTCGATAACTTCCGCATTCTGTTGGATCACCTTTCTTTGGAATGAGCACAAATATGGATCTCTTCCATTCAGTTGGCTAGGTAGCTGTCTTCCAAATTTCTTGGCATAGATAACTGCGATCTTCCAGTGTTGTATCTGTTTGTTGAAACATCTCAATTGGTATTCTGTCAATTCCTGGACTCTTGCTTTTCACCAATGCCTTCAGTGCTGCCTTGGACTTCTTCCTTCAAACCGTCATTTCTTGATCATATGCTACCTGCTGACATGGTTGAACAGCAACCAATTCTTTTTGGTACAGTGACTCTGTGTATTCCTTCCATCTTCTTTTGATGCTTCCTGCATTATTCAATATTTTGCCCATTCGATTCTTCAATATTGAAGCTTGAGGTTTAAAATATTTTTTTATTCAGTTCTTTCAGCTTGAGAAATGCTGAGCTAACTTTTTAAGCTCCAGATCTTTGCACATTTTGTTATAATACTTTACTTAGTCTCCTGAGCTGCCCTTTGAAATCTTCTATCGAGCTCTTCTACTTCATCATTTCTTTCTTTCACTTTAGCAACTCTATATTCAACAGCAAATTTCAGAGTCTTTCTGACATCCATTTTGGTCTTTTCTTTCTTTTCTATCTTTTTAATGACCTTTTGCTTTCTTCATGTATGATGTCTTTCATGTCATCCAACAACTCGTCTGGTCTTCAGTCATTAGTGTTCAGTGCGTCATATCTATTCTTGAAAGGGTCTCTAAATTCAGGATATGCTCAAGATTGTACTTTGGCTCTAGTGGGCTTGTTTTAATTTTCTTCTGCTTCAACTTGAATTTTCATAGGAATAATCCATAGTCTGTTCTGCAGTGGACCCCTGGCCTTGTTTTGAATGATGGTATTGGGCTTCACTATATTCTCTTTCCACAGATATAGTCAATTTTATTCCTGTGTATTCCATCTAGTGAAGTCCACATGAATAGTCGCCATTTACGTTGTTGAAAAATAAAACATATTTCCAAAGAATAGGTCATTGGTCTTGCAAAAGTCTATCATGAGATCTACAGCATTGATTCTATCACCAAGGGCATATTTTGCCACTACTGATCCTTCGTCTTTGATTCTAACTTTCATGTTCCAATCACCAGTAATTATCAATACATCTTGATTGCATGTTTGTTGAATTTCAGACTGCAGAAGTTGGTAAAAACCTTAAATTTCTTCATCTTTGGCTTTAGTGATTGTTGTGTAAATTTGACTAATACTTGTACTAACTGGTCTTCCTTGTAGGCATATGGATATGATCCCATCACTGAAAGCTTTATACTCCAGGATAATTCTTGAAATGTTCTTTTGACAAATAATGTGATGCTGTTCTTCTTTCCATTTGTCATTCCCAGCAGAGAAGACTGCATAATTGTTTGATTCAAAACGGTCAATTCTAGTCCATTTCAGCTCAAGAATGCCTAGGATATCTATCTTCAAGAGTTTCATTTAATTTTTATGACTTCTAATTTTTCTTGATTCATGATTTGTACATTCCACATTGCAATTAGTAATGAATGTTTTCAGCTGTTTCTTCTCATTTTGAGTTGTGCCACATCAGCAAATGAAGGTCTCAGAAACTGCAGTCCATTCATGTCATTAAGGTCAACTCTACTTTGAGGAGGTAGCTATCTTCCCCAGTTGTATTTTGAGTGCTTTCCAACCTGAGTGGCTCATCTTACAGCCCTATATCTCACCATGTTATGCTGCTATTCGTAAGGTTTTCACGGGCTAATTTTTTTTTTTTTTTAAAGTAAGTCGCCAGGTTCTTCTTCCAGTCTGTCTTAGTCTAGAAGTTCCTACAAAACCTGTCAACCCCGAGTGAACCTGCTGGCATTTGAAATACTGGTGACATAGCTTCCAGCATCACAGCAACACACAAGCCACTAAAGTACAACAAACTGACCGATAGGATATTGAAAATCAGATAAAACAAATTTGAAATGTAATATCCTCTGAAATAATTTGCTATATGAAAATTAGTGTTTTCCTTTAAGTAAATAAATAGAATTGTTGTTGGTTTTAGATGCCATCCAGTAGATTTTTGACTCATAGTGACCACGTGTGACAAAGTCATACTGCCTTATAGGGTTTCCTAGTCTGTAATCTTTACAGGAGCAGATTGTCAGGTCTTTCTTCTGCAAAGCCACTGAGTGGGCTTCAGCTGCCAAACTTTTGGTTACAGTCCAGTGCATAACCTTTTATATCATCAATTTTATCACTTAAGAATAATTACTCAAGAAAAATGTGACCCTTTCTTAATATCAGAACAACTTAGATCTATTCAAACCAGCTGCAATTGAGTCAATCCAGGCTCAAGATGACCCGTGTATTGCAGAGTAGAATTGAAACACGTTGGTTGATTTTTTTTAAAGCAGATCAGCAGATCTTATCTTCTGAGAAGCCTCTGGGTGGATTTGAACTGCCAACCTTTTGGTTAGCAACAGAGCTCTTAACCATTTGTGCCATCTAAGAACTCTCCAGCAGAACATTAAACTGATTTTCAACAGCATCTAAGGGATTGTTATATATGGGTTTTTATGGCAATTTCAAATGATTCCTGGTGGTACAGTGCTTAAGTGCTTGCTTGGCTGCTAACCCAAAAGTTGGTGGTTTGAACCCACCAGTTGCTCTGTGGTAGAAAGATGTAGCAATCTGCTTCCATGAAGATTACAGCCTTGGACAACATGTGAGTCAATTCTACTCTGTCCTCTAGAGTTGCTGTGAGTCAGAATTGACTCGATGGCAAAGGGTATGGCAATTTTAGATTTTATTTGTTTAGAAGTTACAGAGGATAAAAGCATAAGCAATAAATTTATTTAAATGCCAAGCAATTGTAAATTAACTACTAACATACATAAAATAATTGAGGAATAATTTCATACGAAGTTTCCCTCTTGCTATAGAATACTGAACTCTTGATATCTTTTGCCTACATTCAGAATTGATTCCATTTTTTATGTTTATATTCACAGACTGATTTTAAAAAGATTAGATTTTTATGACTTGTAAATATGTAATAAAGTTCCTGAAAACTTTTTAAGTCAGACACTGTTGGTATTTATATACGATTTCAAGAATACATTTACATTGTATATTTGTAGAAATGTGTTTATGTGTTTTTGTATAATACCTCCCCTTTCATGAAACCATCCCTCTGAAATATTTAATAGTTCACTTCAAAACCTTCTGTATGTATTATACGGTTAGAATTTTGAATGATATATACAATCTACAAGGAGATATAGCTTATCACAACTGTGTTATCAAAAAGTATACATATAAAATTGTTTACCGTGAGGGTATGAAGTTGTCTGTCAATGACGGTATTCAAATCAATATCTCAAATGAATTTTGGTAGATATGTTGTAGAATATAGGCAAGGAACAGAAAAGTTTTTAAAACAGAATGACTTTAAAATCCCCTCAAAGTAATAACATAGCATAGTTTTCTCATAACTTTTTTTTTTTTTTCCTTTTTCCTGGCCCTGATAATGTGCACTTTTAAAGATCTCTCTATATGGAATGACACTTCTCTTTGGAATCCAGATTTTATTATAATTCATTAAATTCTCCAATTTGGCAATGGACTTTTTATAATTCTTACTTATGTATTTATGTGCTCACCATTACTACATCAGATGTTTTATGAAATAAAAAATCATCACAGCCTCTCTAAAGCGATCATCAACGTTTTACAACACATATGCTTTCAACAAATAATATTGAGTTAATCTGTGTTCTTAATTAAATCACAGAATCAAATAGATGTTTTCAACTACTTAGAATATTCAGACAAATTATGTCAAGTTATACCAAATTTAATTTATACTATGATAATTGTATATGAGTATTTTATGTCATTACATCCTGCTTTTTTTTTTTGTAAGCCACCTTCTCAAACTGGAATTTTCAAAGTGTTTTTTTTTTTTTTTCATATATTCCTGGCAGCACAACAATGTAAGCAATGTAAGCAATGTAAGCAATGGATCCAAAAAAAAGATTTTATTTTGTTTTGTTTTTTAATGTGCTTTTGAATTTGTGGAGAGAATAGCATGAGTGATGGTTAAGGTTGTGTGTCAGCGTGGCTGGGCCGTGATTATCAGTGGTTTGGTAGTTATGATGTAGTCGGTCAGTTATGTAATGATATAATCAACTCCATGATGAGATCTGCTATGAGCAGCCAATCAGTTGAAAGGGAGTTTCCTGGGGGTGTGGCCAGCATCCAATGTGGACTTTCTTGCAAAGCTTGCTGGCTTT